GCGACCCCCAATTGCAAGTCCCGCAACCCCAGTTAGAGTCGCTACGTACAATTTAAGAAACTCTGTTCTAAGATATATTTCCTAATGCATATAAAAGTAATTTATTGATACTGTTAAATTTGAGAAACGGTAATAAAAATTAATGTCATATTTGGATTCAAAAGTTTGAAATCTATGAGAACACCTCGAAAAAAATTTGCAAGAAGTAAAAATAAAATTAGCATTAGAAAGAACACCACTAATTTTATGCTACCCTGTACTGTGCCCTATTTAATAGCTTCAAACGCTGTTTAAAAGAGTTTAAGCATGTTTTTGATTAATTTTACCCTATTTTTTTAACTAACAATAATTTAGTGATAACTTCTTTTTTTTTAACTTCTTTTTTCTTAAAAAAATTAAATATTTATTTGGAGTCAAATAGGATCTACATCTTAGTTCTGCTTTCTAGAATTTTGCCCATCAGGGGTTTGGTTTTAGTTTGGTTGATGTGGCAAAGCACACGAGGGCTGCGAACCCAATGAGATGAATGCTTTCGTGGAGGAGGTTTTAAAGGAAAGCAGCTGATATTCACGTTACACATGGGAAAAACCACATGAAAACGCCCATGCAGCCAGCTAGCTCGCCAGATACTGGCTTTATTTGATTCTGATAAAGCACTCGAGTACTATCTGCCTTAGGAAAGGTTGAGATTTGAGTGTAGGTCTAACTATCAGCTTTCAGTGATTTTGCTGCTCGGCCCCTGATGAGCCGTTGCCATTAGCAGCCGAATGGTATAATTCGCTGAAAGCTGGTTTCCATTGACTTTTGTCTTTGCAATCCAATTTCCCTTTAAATGCTTTCCACAAAGGCATTTCTCCCATTAGGCAGAGAGTCGAGGTGGGTTTTACCATAATATAAATAATCTAGTCTTTCAAAAATGAAAACTGAACGCAACCTACGTATTATAGTGCAAGCTGTCAAACGAGGTCGTCTATTTTATTCTTTATATCTTGCCTTTTTATCCTTTCTACATTTTTTGAGGGATATAATTTGAATTATTGCCCCTTAAAAATTTTACCGTATTTACTCGCGTAATAGTAGCACATTTTTTTGCCAATTTTTTTCATTGTGAAAGTCTTGGTGCCACTATTATGCGGGGAAATCTACTACACAATATATTTTTTTCTACTTCAAAACGGGGTTGCGACTATTACGCGATTAAATACGGTAATTTGGAAGATTGCTACTTCTCCCTTTCATTACGATTTGAACATTTGAAAAACTATTCTGCTGCTTTGTGTGTTTTGTGGAATAAACAGTTCAGTACTATATTCTAAATTGTTTCAACTGTTTAAATGGTGTTTTTAGTTTTGTTCTTCATTTCCAGTATCAGAAATATAGCATTTCAGAATTTATTTGAATGACTTAATTTTCTGAAAACTCCAAGAAGATATCATTAATAGTCACTTTAACTTGGGTCCCTCCTCCCCCCCTTTTTTTTTTACTTCTTAGCAGCAACAGTCTTCAGGGAACAGCAAGACAGTTTTAGTTATTGTTGAAGTGAATTGTTTTGTGCCATAGAAACAAAATGCGCGACTCTGTATAGCGACATTCCTGAATGGGTGTAAATTTGGACATTTCAATTAGCAGTTTTGGAGGAATACATGAATGAAATATTACAGCATCACATTTGCTGCTACATGCTTTGCTTATTCAAATAACTTAACCTAACCTAATAATGTTGTCAAGCCATGGAAGTTCCTATTTAATGAAAATGGATTTGGGCTCGAATCCCGAAGAAGATGACCATTTGTGGCCTATGAGTTGCCTGCTATCAGCTACGTGGAATGCGAACGTTTCAAACCTACAAGTTCTCAAGTCATCTTGAAGAATTAAAACGCGACTATCCTAAATTTTTTGTGGAATGAAAACTTACTAATTTTAGAACCTTCCAAAGTTGGTATCACATATGAAGATAATTTGTAAGAGGCAATTCTTGTATACAATATCTAACACTTTGTCATGCGATGTAAAAATGTAAATCAAAACAATATTTGATTACAATCAGAAGATAGAATTTTGATTCAGGCGACTGATTTGTTGAAGTACGAACAGTTTGCAACTTTTTGCGGAAGAAAGAAGTCGGCAAAAATCTTTGTTTCAGTAGTATATCTGGTAGAAAATTTTTCAGAATAGATTAGGTATTTGAAACAGAGCGATGTGTGATAGCGATTTTTACAAAATTAGTTCTAATGGAATCTAGTTGATCACATCGGGAGTTTCATCGTCATCTGAATTTGGATCACACTTCTTTTCCTTATTTTTGTATTTTTATGTTAGGGCATTAAAAAAATAAATAAAAAGAAAAAGAAATTTTCATTTTACTACTTAACATTTCAGAAATTTAAAAAGAAAATTAGACTACCAAAGAAGGTACTATTCGGTTTCGAGGGCCGTAAAAAATCGCCAAATTATTGTTGATGCCAATGCTGCCAAAAATAATTGCGGCAAGAAAGGAAGTATATAATAGTAAATAACTATCTAAGATTGATGTTTTAATTTAGATTAAAGGTTAATTCATATAATTTTTATTTACTGAATAAGCATAAGAGTAACTATTTCAGATCATTATTTTAATTTATGTAAAAATTGCTAAACATAACTGAATGGATAAGTTATTCGCTATTTCGCTACCGACTATCGCTAAAGCATAATTTTATCTCGTTGGTTGTTCAAACGTAATTTTCTATAATGAATGATGCCTTGTCTTTGAAAATATTCTCGGTAAAGTGCAGAATCGCTCACGTATTTGTTTGCCGCTTTTTACAAGGGTAAAAACAATTGCATTTTTGTCAATTTTCTTTTACTTTTTAAGTGAAAATAGGTCGATGTGTACATAGATAACGTCAAGGGTGTGCGCAGTGCCATTTTTGTGCAATTCTAGGATTTTTTTTTTTTTTAAGTGAAAAATAGGTCGATGGGCACATGGATACCGAGTATGTGCAATACTTAAAAACGCGTCAAGCAGTGGGTGAATCTGGACTTTACCCAAAATTCTATTGCCGACTTTTTGTCATGGGCAATTCCCAAATTGTTAAATCCATAGGATACCAAAAAAGGATTTAAAATGAAAAAAGGATTTAAAAATTAAACTAGTATGTCAATGGCGTCTTAAGAAATATAGAACTATATAAACTTACGCAATCTGAAATCAACGTGTACGCTAGATTTTGCGCGCTGTTAAATGGGTGCGTTTGCTAGATTTGGCGCTTTGGCGCATACATTTTTGCTGCAATTTTTTTACGGCCCTCAAAACCGAATAGTACCTTAAAGGAACATGTAAAACGTAAACATTTCTGCATTAGTTACAAATTATATGGCATCAGAATGTCTTTTATTAATTTCCTTGCCACTACAAATGTTCATAAAAAATAAAAATAAAATAAAATTTCTATTATATTCAAATGAGTTTATTGCTTTCAGTCGCTCAGTTTGTTAATCAGTAATGGTCTGAATGAATCTGAAAAATATATTTAAGATCATACGCTTTGCTAAACGAAATACTCTGTAAATCCTTTATGTGAAAGAGCGCATAAAATATAAATCTAAGTTTCAAATTATGGCAACAACTTCCAATGACCGCTTCTAAATTCTTCCTGTTCTTTTCATGCGTCAGTTTTTGCCAGAAGAAGTTTCTGAACGTTGAGTATAAACCACACATTTTCTTCGAGGTGTATATTTCTTTCGACGTGTATATTTAAAGTATTGCCATCTGTTAATAAATGACTATGAAATCGCATTTGATGTGACAGGTGTTTTGTTGATAATCTTGCTGCCACTGAAAAGTATCAAAATTTTATTATGAAGCATAATAATCCTGCTGATCTACTGAAGAATGTGTTATTACAGATATAGATGCTACGTATTAACACTGCCACCTTGGTTCAGTTTGGCGAATTTTACAGAAGAAAAAGAAAAATTACTTTTATTGTAAAAGAAATCATGCTTACACACATTCACATTTTACGTTTCAACTATATGTATTAATCAACTATTTATCCCCCAAAATAGTCAACAAACCTAGTTATAAAACAGGCGTCTCAAGACCAGAAGAGGAAAATGCGTATCTTCACTGTCATTGGCTGTATACCACGTGACACTCCCGAAACGTTTTAGGCAAAGAATCTGTAAGAGATTCTTTGGTTTTAGGCGCTATTTCTGGTTTTTCGCCAACTGCAATTGTGTTTCTCGCCAATTGTTAGCGGTTTGTTTAAATCAAGGATATTGCTTTTTTTTTATTATCAAAATGGATATGTTTAAATGTAAATCTTGCAGTTCATCTTTTTATGCGAAAAGATATTTGAAAGCGCATGAGAAGCGTATGCACAAAGAATACACGAATTTAAATAATAAAGTTGCACCATTTTCGTGTACGTATTGTACGAAGCAATTTTGTACAAAAAATTCTTTAGCTAAACATAGGATACGTATCCATAATATAAGGCGAAGTAATATTAAATGCGGCGAAGACGAATGCCGGGAACTATTTCCTACTACAGGAGATTTAAGATCTCACTTAGAGACTTGCCATAATTACAGCAATATGACCAAATGTATAAAACTGGAGTTTAAAAAAAAAAGCAAGGTATGCAATGAACTTTTTATTATTTTGTTTTCCTAGTTCAATTATAAATAAGCAAAGTATATTGCGTAACTTCTGTATATAGCCCTTAATCTTTTTTACATTAAAATTAAATAGCTTCATTAAAGCTAGTTCAGCAATACATTTATTTGAAGAAAAACACCATATATATGGTATTATTAATTTAAGCTGTTTCAGCACACAAATATGCATTTATTTGAAAAAATTAACAAATTAATTACTTTGAAACATATAATTTCAGAACACTATAGTTTTAACAATTAAGATTATTTTTCTGTGTGGCTGCAATCTGCATATTTTTATTTACTAATCAGATGCCCTTATTATGAAAATTTTTATACATTTATTTATTTATTAGACTTTTATTCATGGCTATCGGATGAAGAAAGAAAAACAAAGACTCATTTTGTGGTAGATTCATCTGGGCAGAAACATAAAAATTACACCAGGACGCTGTTTTGCTGTAATAGAAGTGGGACATACAAAGCAAAAGGCAAAGGTGAAAGACAGCTAAAAGCACAAGGGACTTCCAAAACAGGTTTCTCTTGCACAGCTACTGTCATACTAAAAGATTTTGGCAATCGTTTTGAAGCTGTATATTTTAAAGAACATTACAAGCATGAAAAATCCCTTTGTCATCTCCCTATTCCTAAACAAGAAAAGCAAAGTATAGCAGGCAAGTTATGTGTTAGACCGTATTTTGATTGTATTAATTTCTCTTAAATAAAACTATAATTACTTATGCAGTTGGAGCCTTTCTAGCTGTCATTAATATACAGGTGGTTCAAAATTCCAAAAGTGAATGAATTTTAATATTAATGAAGTTGATAACGAAAATCATTCATGGAAAATTCAGATTGGGAGAGAAAAACACGCGAGTGTGAAATTTAAAATTAGGCTTAACAGCAGACTTAATTTGCATAGATTTTAAATAAAATTATCAGCTTTGAGGACAATCAGACACAGGTATCTCTTCAGGAGTACAAAACTTTTGCAAAATGGAAGGAGTGGGTAGAGCAAAGTAAAGATGAACGTAACACTGTCTGCTGTGGAAAAAATAATAATGAAGCATGTAAAACCAAGATATTATAATTCTAAATGTGTTATGAAGGAATTAACACATTTATAATTCTAATATCTTAATTTGTTATATTTCATTACTGTTTTATCTGAATGGTTCAATGTTTGTGTTTCTCTGTCAACTGCTTTTAATATAAATTTGGATAATTCTCTTGAAGAAGAGGGACCTTGAAAATGCTGAAGTTTGATTCAAAATCTAGATGAAACTAAGATTAATATTTTGCCTGATTTAAAATTATGGTAAATTGTTTTCTCTTGTATTTATGAACAGCATATTAAATATTTATATAAAAGTGATTAATTATCTATATTTAAGTAACCTGAGATTTGTAACAATTGTTTTTCTTATTATTAAATTAAGTATCATATTTCTTACTAATCTACTGTATAGGCATATTTGTAAATTTAAAGATACTTTTTTTATTCCATTAGTTTTTAGTATATAAGATACATCTGTCATGATATTTACATTTTTCAGTAACTATATTATATACTAATGAGCTAATAGTCAGTTTAGAGTTTTCGCCAGTAATCTATTGTCACATTTGTGAACAGGTGGTGTGGCTACACCGGACGTTGCCAGAGCGGACACGTACAATTTCGCGATCAGAGCAGACACTTCGAAACTCATCGTGGTTAGAGCTGCACATCTTTTCCCCATCTTAGAACAGATAAAGGGTGCAGATAAATAAGTAAATAAATACTTTTAAAAATTGCAAATATAATTTAAAACAGTATTTTAAGTGGCAAATCTCTTTTACCGATGTTTTTCTGTTTTTGCACTCGATTATCGAATTACAATGATAAATACATTTTTGCCAATCATATTTAATTATTTATATGTATTTAAATTGTTATGATATTATAGTGCGAATGCATTTTAAACATAGCGAAATGTAATAAAAATAAAAACTTTTGTGTAAATATAAAATGTAATAAAAAATAAAAATTTCAGGGATTTTGTGGAAAACTGTATTTTAGAGTCAAATATTAGAACAGGTGCAGTTACCATAAAATTAATTAGCTGCATTAATGTAAGTAAAAATAAATATTAGAAGTAAAATATACAAAACAGATACTAGTAAATAAATACTAGCTATCCTTTATTATAAAGGCATAAATATAATTTACAATTTAGTCCAACCTAGTTACAAAACTTAAAGATTTTAGACATTTTTCTAAATTGTTTGATGTTTCGAATTCTTTTAGGATGTTTTTTTTTTAATTCTTTCATCCAATTTTACATATGCTTTTTTCCTTGTTATTTCAGGGTCGCCTAATTCTCTGGCTTTCAAATTAAAAGACACTTTTTTGTGTTTCTTCTTTTAGTATTTTAACTAATAAGTGCACAATAGGCTGGTTTTCTGCCAGTGATTGTGTTTAATTTAGAATTCCACCTTTCAACAGAATTATTTGTCTTATGATGCTGTCCATGTACATTCCGTATTTTAATGGGCATATTTTGATTTTCCATTCACTACTCGACAAAAGAATCAATGAATGTGGTAAGTTTGTCAATGCTAAAAGCTTTTTCCTATACAATGCTCTAAGTATCATCTACATGTTCTATTGGCAAGTAAGCTAAGGCAGAAATCATTCTACAGACATGTCTTATATCTTCGTTCTCTTTATATTCCTTTATTACACCCATTTCTCCCCATTCATCTTATGTCACAAACATTGATTAAAATGAAAGTTACAACCGAATATAGTCGAACTGGGAAATTCTAACATACAGCTATTGATGGCTGCGGCTTCAAAATCAAATTTTATAATGTCCGGCTTCTACTTAGGGTACCAACATTTCACTTCCTGAAACATTGCAACTTACGTTGCTTGTGTCTTATAAGGCAGAAATGCAAAAAGCGCTGGATAAATATTGGTCTCAGTTGCTGTACTCCTTAAGTTGATGTTCAAATTTCAAAACACTTACTATTTTATATATTGTTGAAAGAATTGATTAGGGCAATGAAATGTTTTCATTAAAAAAAAATTTCAGTTGCAAGCTGATATTCTAATATCATACCATTGTTTGCATGGAATTCATATTTAGTAGGTATAAAATAATATAAAATTTTCTTTTCAAGTTCATATAAATGAAAAACTTTATTTTGCATATAGTATATATAATTTTTATCTCCTAATTATCTTTTTAAATTATTTCAGGTAAATTATTGCAGGGGGTGGAAGAGAAACGAATTTTGCAAGATGCAAGATTCTCTTCGAGAGATGATATTGAAACAAAACAGTTAATAACGAGAAAAGACCTGCATAACATTAAGAAGAGGGATTTTGGTCTGAGCATTAATTCTAAAGGATTAATTTTAACAGATGATGAGACAAGTGTTTGGTCCTGGGTTAATACGATGTCGCAAATGGAATTCAACCCCGTTCTGATGTATAAACGTCAAGGAGAAAAATATGCAAATGTAAACGAAAATGATTTCATGTTAGCAATAATGACAGAATTTCAAAAAAAAAAAAAAAAATGTTGATAGAATTTGGTAATGATAGAATCTGTATTGATTCTACACATGGAATTTCTGCTTATGGATTTGAACTTGTAACATTGCTTGTCGTTGATAAGTATGAAGAGGGCATACCAGTTGCTTTCTTAATATCATCAACAGTATCAGATCAGAAAAAATTTTGGTAAACTTTTTTAACTGCATCAAAAAGATCATTGATATCAAGCCAAAGGTTTTCATGAGCGATGATGCTCCCATGTTCTATAATGCATGGGAGCATACATTTGGTTCTTGCCAAAAATTATTATGTGCTTGGCATGTGGACAGAGCATGGAAAGGTCATTTGAATTCTGTGCCAAAACATAAAAGACAAGCAGTGTACAAAACTTTAAAAACTTTAATGTATGAATTAGATGAAGAAATGTTCAACAAAATGTTAGAAACATTTTCTGAGCAACTATGTGAAGATGAAGACACGCGAGAATTCCATAAATATTTTATGACATACTATTTTGAAAGAGCCAAAATGTGGGCATACTGTTTCAGAAAAGGGGCTAAAATCAACACCAATATGTATGTTGAAACATTTCATCGGAAATTAAAATATATTTATTTAGATGGGAAGAAAACCAAACGGGTTGATAAATGTATCATCGAGTTAATTAATCTTGTCAATGATCAAAAGTTTGACACTTACATAAAATATCAGAAAGGAAAAATAACAAAGAAGACAACAAAAACATTTCAACGTCATAAAGCTGCTGAGCTTTTAAATGCTAACTGTGTAAAAAAAGATGATGTATGGGAAGTTTCATCAGAACTGGGAGAAAATTCTTATAAAATTATCAGAGATCATGTTTGTAATGATTTATGCCTCATAACTTGTAGACTTTGTTCATGCTGTTTAAAAGCTTATAAATGTACATGCCATGATTATTCTATTTTAAATAATATGTGTAAACATATACATTTTGTAATCATGTCTGAAAAAAAGACAGAACCTTATATAGGCCCTCTAAACAGAATACCTACTAGGAATAATTATGAATCTTTAACAGTAAGTAAAACATGCATTAGTGAACTTATTCAATCTTCATTTTCAATTTCTGAAAAATTAAACTGCATTGAAAATATGGACATTAATCTTGCTACACAAATAAAAAAGCATTTAAATGCAATTGAACATTTATTAGAAGTTCCTTTGTTAGATAAAGCACATGCTTCAATTTCAAAAGAACCAACAAATAAAAAAAATTGTTCCCCAAAAGAGATTTTATTCAGTTAAAAAACGAAAAGTGTGTAAAAAAGTACAGTTTGGAAATCCTTCAACAGCAGAAAAAAAATATACCAAACCTATTTTATTAAATCAATTAATTGTTAATTCAGATCCCAGCTATGATCATTTGTATTGCAGTGAATTGAATGCCAAAAGTTTAAAAGAAAAGTCACTAAATAATGTTTAAGAAAATTATGCTATTTAAGTATTTTTAAAATTTGTGTATTTATAACAAATTATTTGATTTTTATGTAACTAATCTGGATGTCTCATTTTAATTTAATTATGTATCTTATTATAAATTTAATAAAATTGTTATAACTGTTCTACTGTATATCTAAGCTATGCATTTATCCTATACTTAATCTACGCATACATTAAATCTATTTATAAAGTCATGCTTTATAATAACTATTCTACTGTAAATGTGAATTACACATTTATCATATACGTAATCATTGTCCAGTTAGGTGATAGGATTGTTGATGTTTCTTTAAATAATGAGTCCAGATAAGCAGGATGGTATGAACAATTTATTAGGAGAATAGGCACAATACTATTACACACACAGAACAAAAATGGCTGAAAACAAATCAAGGAGAATAGGGATATTTAGCAATTCACTTTTAGCTCATGAAATAAATTCTAAAGTTTCCTAAATCACTCTCTCAGGATAAACACTAACTTGTAATTCAGCTAACTGCAAAGTCTGGCACCTGATTCACAAGCTCTCTTGTTCTCAGACCCGTATTTATACTCTGCAGGATGTGTTATGCAAGATAAATGCAAAGTTCGTTATGACACGAAAAACCTATTTTCGAAGCCCTGTGACCAATTCATCCAGAAGTTTCTAGAGCCATGCTGCAACAGGCATCTCAAGATAGATAACGCAAAATGCTTATCTTTACTGTCATTGACTATATCACATGACAGTCCTGAAACGTTTTTGGCTCTATTTCTAGTTCTCCTCCAACTGCGTATCTCGTCAATTGTTAGCAGTTTGTTTAAATCAAAGAGCTTGCACTTCGCTTTCTTTCTTTTTGCTTTTATTACTGAGATGGATATTTAAACATATCCATATTATATAGATATTTAAACATAATGCAAATCTTGCAGTGCATCTTTCTATGTGATGAGATATTTAAAAGCACATAAACGTATGCACAAAGATACCGTCGCTAAAGTTACGCCATATTCGTCATCAATTTTAAGCAAACACAGAATATGCATTCATAACGTAATGTGAAAAAAATATTAAATTCAGTGAAGTAGGATGTCTAGAACTGTTTCTCACCACAGGAGATTTAAGATCTCACTTTTAAGTTAGTTTTAAGTCACTTTAAGATTAAGATTAAAGACTCGCCATAATTATATATAACATGATAAAATGTATGAAACTTAGAGTTCCATAAAAAACAAGGTTTGTAATGATCTTTTCCTTATTTTGTTCTTTAGTTCAATTATAAATAAGAAAAATATATTACGTGACTTCTGTATATAGCCCTTAAACTTTTTATATTCAAATTAAATAGCTTAATGAATACGGTGTTATTCATTAAAGCTATTTCAGCACACACATTTATTTGAAAAAACATATACAGTCAAAAGTCATTAATTCGGACACCCATAATCCGGAATGATCTATAATCCGGACCTCAAAGCGACAACCTTTCTGCGCATGCGTCGCGTTGACGCATGCGCGTAAGACCTTTACCACTGCGAATTTGCGCGTGCGCAAAATACGTTTACGAATGCGCGTTTAATGTATAACGGACGGGATAAGCTAAGCTAAAATTATCTATTATCTATTTCATTTAATGTTAATGTTGCAATTGCGTTGTTCCTTAATCTTCGAATTGGATCCGGCTTATTATTTTTTGCAGACTGTTAGAGCAATTTTATAGAAGTAAGCTTGAACTTTGGATTATGTCAAATAGAATTTTCGATATATATTTACTAATATGTAAAGGATATACAAAGCGAAAGTATCTTTCGGAGTCCATTACACAAAAAGTGGAATTGCTGCAAAAAATGGATAAAGGCATATATTTTGTTTATCTAAGCTTTAACGCTTGTTTATCTAAACTTTAACGTTTGTTTATCTAAACTTTGTTTATCTTTAACACGGCGTGCAATGAATTCACTATCCTTATCTTTAAGGGCAGATGTTTTTATTTTATTTGGCTTATAATTGCTTACTCTATGTAGTATTTCATCTCGATGTACTCCATCTTTGATATGATTTTAAATCAAATGCCTCGTCATTATAATTCGCTTCGATAGCGAAGAAAAGTGACAGAGGTTATTGAAAACGAAAAAATTTCGATTGACAAATTAGTCGGTATTCCGACACAGCAATTATAGGACTGAACAGCGGAACTTTGTAACTGAACAAGAAATTATGTCTGTTTATTTAGAATTAAAGAGAATGTATTATCACATAAAAAACGAATCAACTTAAACAACTTACATTGAAAGAAATGTTTAATAAAGTAACAAAATAAATATTAAGCTTTTTTTTTTTTTTTTTTTTTTTGTAAATTTTGATACCCTTTAGATCATAATTGTTCTTTATTTTCATAAATTACGGTTTCATATTTTTAATTTGAATTTCTGCATGCCATCTTACGAGATTTAAACTGATGATCTATAATCCGGAAAAATCGATAATCCGGAATCACCGAAGTCCGACGAGTCCGGATTAACGACTTTTGACTGTATATGGTATTATTAATTTAAGCTGTTTCAGCACAAAATGTACATTTATTTGAAAAATTAGCATACATTAATTACTATAAAACTATAATTTCAGAACACTATAGTTTAACAACTAAGATTATTTTTTCTGTGTGGGTGCAATTTGTATATTTTTATTTGTGTCTTATAAAAATTTAACAAAAAATGCAACTTATTTTTTTATCTACTGCCATGTATAATTTGTTGTACTACTTGTTCCTTAATATGGAAAAGTTGTTATAAAAGTGCACAGTATGGCTCATAATTTGATTTCAATGTCTCACTTTAACTTTTTCTTTTTTTTTTTTTTGTCTTTTGACCAGGAAAATTTATTATGAATTATTATTATTGTTTTACATATATTATTATTAGTTACTGATGAAGATCAATAATGGTTTTGGTTTGGTTTATTTAATTACGGCTATCTGCCTAAGGGAAGGGATGCCTTCGTGGAGGACTTTCTAAGGGAAACTGGCTCGTATACACGTTACACATGGGAAAAACCATGAAAACGCCCATGCAGCCAGCCCGTTCGCAGGATTCGAACCTCGGACCGAACTACCAGTGTTCAGTGTCTTAACGGCTCGGCCTCTGGTGGGCTATATGAAATAACGAAAATTTGCTATCTTTGCTTTATTTCCAGCATAAATGCAAGTGTTTATTTTAGGAAAATAAAGCTGAATAAAATTTGTATATTTTTGCTAATTTTTTGAAAGATAATTTTAACTATTTCATTTGTATTATGGAGAATAACAAGAATGAAACAAGTAAAAACCTTTCATCAGATAACAAATAAGCGAAGATGCCAAATTTGAATATTAAGCGATAAAAAAGAGAGCACACTACTCATACTTATCTCAGATGTTAAAAAATCTGTTGGTTTATATAAAAAAGTTGACTAATTCTTAATACAGAATACTATAACAATGCAAGCACTGACATAGTTTTTTCATAACCCTACATTTAAAAAACATTATAATTTAAAGATATAGCTTTTCCTGAAAATACACCATAAAGTACCACATTTAACCAATTTGTTACAAGCTTGATACCATGTGAGCAAACTTCAAACTGCATATCAGTTAGATTAAAAATGAAGAACAAGAACTGAATATGAATAAGGTACTAAATTTTTAAAAGTCTATAATATAAACAGGCTAAATGAAATAATGCATAAGTGTATATTTAAGTATTTATGGTATTAATTTTAGAAAAACACCTATTGACTCAGGAAAGTTTCGTGAAATTTAAACCAAGTACTGAAGTTGCATTCATGCCAAAATGAAACCACACTTTTTATATGCTCATATTTTATTGTGGAATGTAAATACAAGTAATCAGGAATACAATGAATTCACAATATTAAAAAGAAGCAATATTAAAAAATCACAGGTGGACATGAAGAATAATCTTACGAACACTCTATAAAACTGCTTTTTTTATTTTATACAACATATGAAATTACCTTGAATTATAGAAGAAAGGTAGTTGAACAAATATGAAAATGAGATTTCATAACGAGGATAACTTCATGCAAAATTAAGAAAGCAGCTGCTAGAAATATTGATACTCTTCTGTTATGAGGATTGATTGTATGTATGTATATACATGTGCATGTCTATTTGTGTGTGTATGCATACATATATATATGCACATGCAAAATATATATACCAATTGTGGCCAATGTGTGGCTCGCGAGCCTTATACGGCTCTTGCAGGCAATTTGTGCGGCTCATGCATATAAAATATATGTATGAAATATGGTAAACTAAAACTATTCAGTGTCCAAAAGGAAGTAATTAATTAGTTTAGACTCTTTTTACAAAGTTATCAGGGATTTCTTTCTATTTAAAACCTCCTCCACTACTTCTATAATGATGTAAATATGAACTTGTGGCTTTTAGAAAATTTAGATGCAGCTCTCGAACATTCCTGAATTCAAACGTGCTTACTGAAATGAAGTTTGGCCAACTCTGATATATACATTTCTGAATCTGGTTCCGATAACAGAACAGGGCCAAAATATCTTGTGAAAGAATATATAT